AAAAAATAATGAAATACCTAAATAGAAATTTAAAAGCCGGGCCTGCTATGTCCATCAACCAGCAGGAGTTTCTCTAGGGGCCATCATTCATCCCCCCTTGGACCAAGTGGGGATGAGGGCCTTGGTAAGATTTATCTCGACCCTCTCCCTAATCTCAAGTGAGATTTTTCAAATTGCGAATTTTTAGAATAAATACGTTAATCTGGGCTTGATTGATGTTTTTTACACTGTTTATCCTCTGTGGTGTTTCTCGAGGGAAAAAAATTACGTGATATTTGCCGAGCCCTCCCTCTACCCCACGTGTGATTGGATGAGAATTGGCTCTTCCCCCCTAAAGGCCTCACTTAAGTCGCTGATCGCATAGAAAAAGGATATATATATATATATATATATATATATATATATATATATATATATATCTATCCGGTCCACGTTTTCAGTCCCGGTACACTATACACCGAGAAAAATAATTTAAGACCATCTTTAAGATTCTTAATAACCTTATTTAAGATATCGCAGTAAAATAGGGGACATTAAGACCGTTTAAATACCATTAATAGATTCAATTTAATAACTATACTTTGTGACCATCAATAGGCGAACTTAATACAATTATCATAAGACCATCAAAAGTTTTTATATCGGCCATTAATATATATCTTATAAGGGTTAATATATTATTTTAGGATCATCTTAATATCACTTAAATATCTTCTTATGACATCTTAATATGATCCCAAATTGGTACATATATGGCAAATAAATAATCTTATAATGGTAAATATATTATTTTATGATCATCTTAATTCCATCCTAATATCCTCTTATGCTATCTTAATATGATCCTAAATATATTTATTTGCCATAATAATATGCTATAGTTATCATATTAAGATGGCCTATTTACGGCAATAGTTTAATTTTATTATAAATGGAGCTGCACCATGGTATAAATAAACGAAAATAAATCTTAAAAGCATTATTTCTATTAAAAGTAAAGTCTTGAAAATAAAATAAAGCCCCAACGCGAAAAAATGCATTAAAAGGTTGGATTTTCATTTTAGTCTTCGAGTACTTGAACATAATTTTGGCATTCATTTTTATTTTATTTAAAAAAATCATTAACACCATTATTTTCATCAATTGGAGCACTCTAACCTAAATGTTTATAAAAAAAACAGAAAAACATAGGTATCGCAATTAGCATAAATTAATGCTTTCCTTATTTTTTTAGGAAATAAAATTTATACCGAAATTATTTTTACTAGACGACCTTATTAGTGCATTTTCTGCGTTGGGACTTTATTTTCATTTTCAAGACTTTACCCAGGTAGCACACTGACGTTTATATGACGTTGAAATGACTTTGGTAACGTCATTTTAACGTCAGCATACGTCAGTGTGCTACCTGGGTACTTTTAGTAGAAATATTAATTAATAATACTTTTAAGGATTATTTCCATTTACCCTAAAAAGAAAGATAAAAATTGAGCTTTAAAAAAATTAAACTATTTCAGCAGATAGGCCATCTTAAAATTATAACTTTATACATGTAGGTATAATTAAATATTAAATTAAGGAATCAAAGCCAATATTCTGACCTATTAAAAATCTTGGTAATCTTTCTCAAGCTGTTTTATTTATAAATATGGTACCTAATAATAATAAATTGTAAACATTTTACCAAAAATATATTTCAGATTTTACCAATATCCTATAAAATAAACTTCAAAGCATACATTTATAAAAGTATCATCAACATATTAAATACAGGGTGAACTTTTTAAATGTTTAATGCAGGGACCCCGGAAACTATATAGAAAGAAATTGAACCTACCTTCAAATCCTTTAACAAAATCACTGAGCCCCCATTCAAGCAGAGTAACTTTGAAAGCCATTACTGTTTTCTGTAAAATTACCGCAAAACAATTGTGAAGAAACGCCCTTTTTCTTCTATAAACGATTCAATATTATCCTCAATTTCCCGTTAACAAGTGAGAAATAATAAATGACGCTTCCACAGAGGACGCTGTTCTGTGCTATGGACGCTAGTTAAACGATTGGTCGATTCGAGTATAGTCGGAAAGCCGAATCTGTTAGTTAGGTAGATGAGTTTGTTAAGGCCATTATACAACTTCTTAAGGTCTTTAGATAATTTAAGGTGGTTCACAATCTTATGTTATGTGTTCACAATTGACTAGTAATGGTTAACCATTACTAATAATTATTAAGACAAGTTTTAATAAGGTCGTCTATTAACCATATTTAGTTATTTATCACTGACATTAAAATAATTTTAAGAACAGCGACATATTAATCCGAGTTTATGGTGGTATTTAGATATTTTATGATTGTTAAAATATAAATATAGATGATCTATATTTTTTGTTTTAACACTTTATTAAAACGTATCTATTAGTCACCTTAATTCGTCTTCATGTCACAGATAGATAATTTGTACTGGTTATTAGATATATTTTGAACACTATGTAGATAATTTCATTAAGATAATTTAAGATTGGAATTTTCTCAGTGTACAGGCTACCTAAGACCCACTTGATCCAGGTAATTTAGGCGAGTATATAAACCGTAAATAAGCTTTTAAAGAATATAACTCAATAAGCATGCTTCAAGGGGAAACATTTTCTTTTTACAAAAAAAGTTGCAAACTGAATAACACTTTTTAAACCCGCATCATTTTACCGACTTTTCGCGCCCGTTTATACTGCATAACCATATTCAACCAACGTCCCGAGACCCAGCGATGTTGCCAAATGGTAGGGACTCGTGGCGTAGGTCGAAAGTACGTAAAAATAACATACTAATCCGGGTTTCTCCTCAATGCCTGTAAATCGGGAAGATAGCAGAATTGGCGAAATTGTTTGTGTGGTGTGAAAATATCGGCAGGAAGCAAATTAAATGCTCAAATGGCAATACTAGGGAAAAATCAAAATACAGGTAAGGAGGCATGTTTGGTTAGGTTAGTTTTTTTATTTACTATTATTTCTTTAAAGCAAAGTTAATTTTTTGGTATACCCAATGGGGATTCCCCATCCAAAGAAACGCAGAAAATCCTGTAGACGAATATAGTTTCGACAGCAAAGAAAATTTAAGTATTTCCTTTAAAAAATTTAACTTTATTTATTTTGCGTACTTCATCAAATTATTTTTTCTTCTTCCCTTAAAATTTTGGTGTTTTAGTTTTTAAAATCGGTTGGTTTGCACAAATTATTACTTTAATTAAGTGTGGTTTAAAAGTACGTGATTTTATAAAATGATTCTTGTGAATATATAATGGTGTATAATTAATAAATAAAAAAAATAAGTTTTTCCCAAATAACGTACCAACCCATTTTAAAACTAATACGGGTATCGTATAATTTTAAGGGCATTTTAAATCCCTTTATTTTGACGTAATAGTTTTTAATCGGTTTGTTTGTTTTCAAGATATTACAGAAAATTTTTCTTTTTTAATTTATTTTTGTCTTAAATATCTCAGGAACAAACTAACCGATTTTAAAAACTAATACGCCAAAATGTAGAGATTTAAAATGCCTTTAAAATAACGTCTCACTCATTTTTCATTTAAAGTGAAGAATAAAACCGGGGTGGAAAAATATCAAAAACATTTCATTTTCACTAATCAGCATTCAAATTGGAGTATTTTAGTATTTTTATTTAGTAGTTCTGAGATACAGGGTATTAAAATTATACTGTAACCGTACAATATTAAAAAAATATAAATTTTAAAATACAAGTTTAAAATTTGGTATGCTGTAGGTAATATCTAAAGCAAATAATTTTTTTATTTAATTTTAATTATTATACCGGGTGATTTTCTTTATACGCTGCTGCTTAAATTTAATAATAAAATAAGATAAGATAAGAAGGTAGGTTCTAAAAACACATGTAAATATTCAATTAATCAAATTTGGAAATATGTATTGATTATAATACAACAATAAGAAAGCTAATGATAATAATAATAATAATAATAACGATAATAATGCTAATAATGATAATAATCATAATAAATAAATAAACGGAAATGAAAATTGATATTAAAAATACTTAACATTAAAATTATTAACTACATGTTCCACAGACAGTGTAAGGTTCTTTATAATCTTGAGATATTTCGCAAATCTTTTTATTAACTTAATATTTATATTTTGTATAATACAATAAATATTACTATACGTAAATCACATCCATACAACCATATTAAAAATTACGATGTACTAATATTTTTACAGTAATATTTACCAAAAATGTATACTAAAAAAATAATATATTGTGTTAAATATTTAACATTTCAATTTTACTGACGAATATTTAAAAGTATAACCCTCAAAATTTGATAAAGTAGATTTTACTTTTTTTTACCATCTGAAGCTTACTTATCTCCGTTCAGGAGGGAAGTGTAATTTTGGACCAAATGGTAAAGAGCATATCGGGACTGTATCAGAGCTGTAAAATACATATACATTATTTATATGCCAAACGGCGTTGCCAAATTTAGGGTTTGAAGACGTAGTTTAACTATGCCAAATATATACAGCTAGCTGAGCCCGACCGAGGCGCCCTCGAACTGGCTGAACCGTGAACTAAATGTGTATATTTCATCATGTTTCACCGCCTTTTCAAGCCCACCTAAAAATTTACCCCCTGCACCCACCAACCCCCCTGATTTCCATACTATGATTAACTTTTTCAGTCCCGAAGCCGGGTCTGAAAACGTCAATTTTGATCTGTATAGGCGGCGAATTATGACGATTTGGGTCTGTATGTGCGGTCAAACAAATCTATATATATATATATAATGGGCCGTCCATTAATTAATTAATTAATGGACGGCCCATTATATATATATATATATATATATATATATATATATATATATATATATATATATATATATATCCTTTTTCTATGCGATCAGCGACTGTCTGCCCCTTGTCTCTGCTGTCTGCATTCCACTCTGTGCTGCACTTTAAAGAATGTTTCCAGTTTTTGATCTAGCCAGAAGGTAAGAAAGCGTTTGACATATTTATAAGCTGCAGCTTGTTGTTTTCGAGTTTTTTAACCGATTTGAATTTTTTTTGTATTTAATATAAGGTGACTCTCCTGAAAGATAAACCAGAATGTTTACATGTATTTCTATTAACATAATATTATTACAAATTAAAATTTTTTAAAACTATATTTTTTTGGGAGTAAATTTGTTTTATTAGTACTTAATTTTTTAAGCATGTTTGATCGAAATTAGTTTTAATAATTAATAATGATTTTGGTGTTTAAATATGCAATTATTGTGATTTGTCTTGCAAAAGTTGTTTATATTGGAAAAAACTTTCTCATAAAGGACTATTTGTTCAAGATAAACACAACAATATGCTTAATTCTTTTGCATTTCTTCATTAAAGATGAGTTGGAAATATAAAAAACAATAGATATTACAATATTTAACCACAATAGGAATATGCGCAATACTAAAATAGTTCCGAACTATTAGTTCGTTTGGGGAGAGCCATGCGATGTATTTAGTGGGAGTAGGGCGAACAGGGTTACACGATTGGGCGAAAAATCTGGCAAAGTGGAAAGAAAATATAAATTTATGTTTATGGCTTAATTAGTATTGTAGGTATATGTAGGTATGAAAACAGAAGAAAACAGAAAAGCTTTTGAAAAACAGAACTTTTACTTTACTTAATTTACAACCAGAACATGGTTCTCAAAAACAGTATAGTTCTGGTTAAATCAGAACGGTTGGTCACCTTAATTTAATAATATATTCAATTAATGACGATGCCGTAAAACTTTTATTTCCTTTATTTTTTCATTAAGATCCAATAAGAAAATATGAATATGGCTTGCATTATTGCTTTGTTTGATGTAGGTAAGTGATATGCAGGTATTTAATGTTTAAATATTTTCAGATCCATGGGTTTCTCAGAGTGTATCATGGAGTGGAGTAAGGATCCCATCAGTATGAATTGGATGATCAAAGTTCGCTTGACGCAGGAGGACTACCAAGAAGGCGATATAGAGATAAGGATTCGAAATAATACCTTAGTGGTAAGTCTAATTTACCTTGGTTGTTTTATTTCGATTGACGTGAACAAGGCCGACCCAGAGCCGGCCAGAGGGGGTGCAAGCGGTGCAACCGCACTAGGCCTCTGAGAATAGTAATGTAAAAAAAATGTACACTGTACAGTCAAATGTACATTGTACAGTCAAAAATATATTTATGATCGCAGTTATAGGTATATGATTTTTTACAATACCTACATGATAGATGCAAAAATAAATTTTACTAAAAGTATTTTTAACAAACGTATGTTGTAATATATATATTCTTTTTACAGGTTATCGCTAAGAAGGTGGTTGAAGGTGGTAGCAGTGGTGGATCGACGCAAAGCTCTTCAAGGGCGGTCCATTCAAATAAAAAGGTGGTTTCACTTCCAGAGGGATTACGACCTATTAAAAAAATTGAAAGGACTCTGGACAACGGTACCCTGTTGGTAACTTTAATGGAAAATGAATGAATGTACCTATTTAATTATTTATTTAATTAATTATATATATATACCTACATACTTATTGAAAATAAATATTTTTGTTTTATTTTGATTTTTCCCACACAGAACACGCTATCCAATGGATATCCAATGGCTATCCCAATGTCCATATAACATCCATGCCTTTTACGATATCCATTGGATATCCAATGGATATCCATACTAGATGTTCAAAAAAAAACAAAAACATTAAAAATATTTTTTTCTTTTTTAAAATAGCCCCTTATAGGATAAATTTATGTAATGATTAATAAATATGATTTAAATCGTTATTAACCCAATTTCAACAAAGTATCTCTAAAATATATCCAATGGATAACTAATGTATGTCCAAAGTATATCCACTGTACATCTAATGTATATCCACTGGATATCCACTGGATATCCAATGGATATCCATACTGAATGTTAAAAAAAAACAAAAACATTAAAAATATTTTTTTCTTTTTTAAAATAGCCCCTTATAGGATAAATTTATGTAATGATTAATAAATATGATTTAAATCGTTATTAACCCAATTTCAACAAAGTATCTCTAATATAATCCAATGGATAACTAATGTATGTCCAAAGTATATCCACTGTACATCTAATGTATATCCACTGGATATCCAATGGATATCCATACTGGATGTTCAAAAAAAACAAAAACATTAAAAATATTTTTTTCTTTTTTAAAATAGCCCCTTATAGGATAAATTTATGTAATGATTAATAAATATGATTTAAATCGTTATTAACCCAATTTCAACAAAGTATCTCTAATATATATCCAATGGATAACTAATGTATGTCCAAAGTATATCCACTGTACATCTAATGTATATCCACTGGATATCCACTGGATATCCACTGGATATCCAATGGATATCCATACTGGATGTTGTAAATTTATGTAATGATTAATAAATATGATTTAAATCGTTATTAACCCAATTTCAACAAAATATCTCTAATATATATCCAATGGATAACTAATGTATGTCCAAAGTATATCCACTGTACATCTAATGTATATCCACTGGATATCCGGTGGATAACTGATATGGATATCTTGTATATATACTTGTATGTATACATGTGGGATTTTGTGATGGTTTAAACTAGCATATGTAAAAAAAACAACTTTACGGTAAATTGATTTTTTGCCAAGAGCTACGAAATTTTTAATTTTGAAATGTTCACTTTACCCAGATAATAATATTTATATATTAATAATATTATTTCTGTTAATAATATGACTACGACAGTCTGCAATACAATAAAAAATTACTTAAAAAAGTCCCTTTTGTTTATTATTGTATTTCATAGTACTACGCACGCGCTGAATTTGAGAATCTTCAGTGTTGCCGGTTATAAGCAAAATAACTAAACGAAATATATTTCCGTACTTTATTAAGTTTTAATAAATAAATTAAATAAATTTAAAATAATTATTCACCACATTTATGTCAAATAGGTATACTAGGTATACTAATTAATTAAGTATTAAAGATTTAATAATATAACCGCCATTTTGATGAGCTTTCTGAAATTATTTAAACGTCTGACAACACTGCTCAGCAGTGACTGCTGCCGAACACAGAAGATAAAGAAGCGTCCTTTTTCTATGGTAGCGTCCGTTAAATATGATGCCATGATTAGGTACATCCAAAGGGTTTTCATGTTTATTTGCTTCATTCCACAGATTGTAAAGGTTCATTCGCCATCATTGCTATTTGTTATATGTTTGTCATAAAGTTTATTGCCAAGTTATTGTGTTTTGTGGTTATTTGTTTGAGGTCTCTAGTGGTAAGTGAATATTTTATTAATTTTCTAATCATAGTTATCATTTTAAATTGTATTGGTCTAAAACTAATACAATTTTAAATTAAATAGGTATATTTAAGTGCAATTTATAAACTTTCGGTTAGCATTGAAGGTAAAACATTAAAGGTGAATACATGCATGCATTTATATACCGTACCTTTATTTGCAAGCTATACATAGGCTCGAGGGTAACAAATGGGCTGATGGATTGGCCAAATTTTGGGGATCATAAGGAGACAGGTGAAATAGGCCCTAAATGATTAGGCTGATAAAAAGGCAAATGACAGCTGGAGGAGTGATGGCAAGCCAGAGACTTCACTTCTTTAGTTATATGTAGTTTTCTGTTCTATTTTATGTTTTCATAAAAATAAATATTTAAATTAAAGAATAAGACTTTTATTTTAAAACCCAATGTTATTTATTGAAAAGTAAATATCCATTGATTCACCATATCCAATACAGATGACAACCATATTGCATACAATACTATATCCACTGGGTATCCATTGGATATCCACACTATGTCCAGGAGGGTCGGACATTTATATATCCAATGGTTATCCATTGGATATCCATACAATCTCCATATTGAATACAGATTACAACCATATTGCATACAATACTATATCCACTGGGTATCCATTGGATATCCACACTATGTCCAGGAGGGTCGGACATTTATATATCCAATGGTTATCCATTGGATATCCATACAATCTCCATATTGAATACAGATTACAACCATATTGCATACAATACTATATCCACTGGGTATCCATTGGATATCCACACTATGTCCAGGAGGGTCGGACATTTATATATCCAATGGTTATCCATTGGATATCCCGGATATCCTATGTATATCCTGGATATCCATAAAAGAAATCCATTGGATATCCATTGGATGTAATTGTTCCGTGTGGGTTATTTATGAAAACACAAGCATATACAGTGTATACACCCACAGGCAAAATAATCGATCCACCCAAATTTTCGATGAATTTCAATCGCAAACAACTTTTTTATTTGATGTCTGATTTAAACAAATTTTGAAAAATATTGTTGATAAATTAATGAAGAATCGCTAACATTTAAAAATTTTACGAAAAAATAGACTTACGTTTATAACATACAGGTATAAACAAAAATAGGTTTTTTACCATAAGTTTAAGACACTCTGTAGAGTGGCGAAACAGTAACTTTTTTTTAAATTAATTCTTAAATAACAAGTCTTATCATGTTCTTATCATTTTTGTTTTTGGTTCACCTCGATATCTTTATTTTTGTGGAAAATAGGTATACCTAGATTTAAAAAAAAACATTGCAATTTAAATTGATAAGACATGATAAGACTTGTTATTCTTGTTATTTTTGTTTTTGGTTCACCTCGATATCTTTATTTTTGTGGAAAATAGGTATACCTAGATTTAAAAAAAAACATTGCAATTTAAATTGCAATGTTTTTTTTAAATCTAGGTATACCTATTTTCCACAAAAATAAAGATATCGAGGTGAACCAAAAACAAAAATGATAAGAACATGATAAGACTTGTTATTCCTGTACAAAGAACCTAACCGACGATATATGACTAATATAAGTGAATTTTTTGTTTCAGAGTCTACATCCTCCACTACCAAAAGCACGTATGAATAAATAAATAATAAATAATATTACGTACAGGGTGGTCCACGTAAGGTGACCCATATACCTACTTATCTCAGAAACTACTGGAGTCACAAAAAATTTGTAAGAAACAAATATTCACGAAGTAAAAAATATTTTTAAAATATTATATTTTCATTTATACAGGGTGTTCGGTTTTCCTTGGGACGATACCAACTTTCTTATTTTCAATTGAACACCCTGTATTTTTTTGCATTTTTGGATTCTACCCACTCTTTTAGGTATACTTTAAATTTGTAAATATATTAATTAAGAAAATGTTAATACTTTTTGAGTAAAATGAGGATTTATTAAAATTTCTCTAAATGTAGACATTCGCTAAAAGTTAAAAATAACCAACTAAAAGTTATTATTTTTTATATTATGTAGCATTCGTCTCTTTAATAATAAGTAAGCTATAAGTTAATTATTATATTTTTTGGAAAATATTATACAGGGTGTTGAATAATGAAAATTTAACTAAGGTAATTGGAAAAAAGCCACTAATTGTGAAAAATGCGAATATTTTTTTTCTGTTAGGTTTAGGTATAGGTAGGACATGTATATATAAAATGAAAGGTAATTACTTATTCTATCCAATTATGCAAAAATATATAGGGTGTTCCATTGAATAAAAACAAGATTTTAAACTTTTAAAATCGCTATTTTCAACGGGACATAGAAAACACCCTGTATGATATTTTCCAAAAAATATAATAATTAACTTATAGCTTACTTATTATTAAAGAGATGGATACTACATAATATAAAAAATAATAACTTTTAGTTGATTATTTTTAACTTTTAGCGAGTGTCTACATTTAGAGAAATTTTAATAAATCTTAATTTTACTCAAAAAGTATTAACATTTTCTTATTTAATATATTTACAAAGTATACCTAAAAGAGTGGGAAGAATCCAAAAATGCAAAAAAATACACGGTATTTTATTGAAAATAAGAAAGTTGGTATCGTCCCAAGGAAAACCGAACACCCTGTATAAATGAAAATATAATATTTTAAAAATATTTTTTACTTCGTGAATATTTGTTCCTTACAAATTTTTTGTGACTCCAGTAGTTTCTGAGATAAGTATATGGGTCACCTTACGTGGACCACCCTGTACATAATATGTACATATGTAACAATAAATTTTATTAAAAAATATTTCTTTCTTTTTAACCCTAAAAAAAATGAAATTAAATTATAAAATGTTTGAATATATGGTAAGAACAAGTAAAATAGACCAATATATTGGTTAAAAAAAATTCAAATAATTAAAATTCCCATTAAATTTTCACAACCCTTCAAATATAAAAAAATACATATTTTTAATATTTTAAAACGTACAGTCTATAAAATAAAAATGTTTAATTATTGAGTCTGTAAATGGTTTGGGTAATTCTATTAGTAAGTAACAACAACAATTCTAAGGTAGGTACTTTAGATTTAATTAGGTTTTAAAAGTGTTTTAATATGTTCAATAAAACGATATT